TGTGTGTGTGTGTGTGTGTGTGTGTGTGTGTGCACTCGACTACGCACTCTCTGATTTACATGCTTATACACACAATATAGTTGATAGATTCTAAGCCCACTATTTAGGCGAATATATTTCATTGAAGTTGAAGTTACTTAATCTGTTATTTCGGTCACATGTGCTTGAAAACAATTTGTCAGAATTAAAAAATCTAAATCTGAAAGTATCAAGAAAAGATATCGTCCTATACTCACAACTTTTCATATTCATGTGATTGAAATTTTTTAAATAGCTCTGCTCACATGGGCAGCTCACCTATTTGACCACCAAATTACTGACTTCAAGAAAAGTTAAGGATCACCTTGACAGACAGCCCTGATTTTAAAAAAAAATCAGAAAAAAGACAGCAAGGAATGTTTCAAAATGTTTGCTCTGAAAGTGTTAATGGGTTACCAACGCGTATTGCAAAGCCTCCTAAAGGACCAAAAAAACCATCACGTGCAGCACAGGAACCCTCGGGGAATTTTAGCCAATTTGCTGGTTTTTTTTATCGATTTGTGTGACACCACGGATATTCCTCAGTTACAATTTGTGGTGCACGTCATATACTGACGTATGATCTCGAACTGTGCTCACTTTGGTGGCAATATAACTCGCCATTTGCGCTAGATCCACAATCGCATCAACATACCATTAAGACGACAGCTGAGAGATTTTGATTGTGCCAGAGCTATGGCATGGCTGCAGGATGGAGTTGGAGCCCGAGAGGTTGCCAGAAGGCTTGCAGTGTCACACTCTGTCATTGTCCACCTGAGGCAGCGCCATCATGCCACTGGATCAGTCCAAGAACGCTCACGTGCAGGTCGACGCAAGAAGATCACACATAGTGTTTGCAAGTGGTCCTTAACTTATGTTGAAGTCCGTATGTTCAGACAGCGAGACGGCTAATGCGCCAAACTTACAATTGCCGGCACAGACAAAGGTCGATACCCTAGACACATTAAAGAAGGATTATTTCCTCCTTTATAATCGACATCTGAAACTCCTTGAAGAGGTGACATTAAGTAATATGTAAACTGAGATATATGAGAGACAGAAAACAGAGAGATAGAAAACAGAGAGAGAGAGAGAGAGAGGGAGA